CTAAATCAACCTTCCACAAAATGAAACAGATACTAACAAACATCAATCTGTCACTGGAAACGAGAAAAGGAGTCCTGCAAAGTTACATCGAGCCAATCCTGGCTAAAACAGCACCTGGACATGGATGGCTGGTACCTCTATAAATACATCATTGATGGTCTGGTCGAGCCAATCCTATTCTACGGGTGCAAAGCATGGACAATCAATAAACAGCTGGAAAGAACAATTGTGGCGACAGAATTGTGGTTCATAATACGCATGCTACGTATCCCATGGACAGCTAGAAAAACAAATGAAGAAGTCTTGGTTGAAGCAAATTGTACAAGACAGCTTGTGACGAATATAAGAAAGCGACAGGCAAATTTCTTCGGACACACAAAGCGGAAAGAAGCAGTGGAGAATATTGTAACAACAGCCAAGTTTGATGGAAAGAGAGGCAGAGGCAGACAGAGGGAAAAGATACTGGACAAGATGACAACATGGCTAGGAGCAGCAAGAACAACAGACACCATTGCTGCAAAGCGGGACAGAGTGAAATGGAGTTCCATGATCGCCCACGCCAGTCGGCAAGGCACCGGATGACGATGAAACATGCGCAGAATAGGGCAGGCATTTAGGCTCAAATGAAGAGTAAAACACCTGTCTCTTTATGGTCTAGTACGTGGGCACCCCTTCTCTCCCCCCCCCCACGCACACAAACACACACAATCCCCCACCCTTCATCTTTTTCTCACATTAAATAACGCACTCCATAGGGAACCGGAAACGCGCACGGGAACGTGATCTGGAATATTATAATAATACAAGTCTATGGTAGGAACGAACTTAAGTACACCATTAAAAAACTGGGTCGTAACTTAAATATCCGAAGGAAAAAAAGAAGCCAGTAACTGTTTAAAACACGGCCTGCTGAAAGTGTCTCAGTGGTTCCCATTGGCTAGCCCAGATCGCGGTTCGGAATTATTAATTTCACACAGTGAAAGCAGCTTTGTGGCTGACATAATTTGGGGTCTTTCCCCGCGACGGCCCATCGTTTTCCAAGCCATGTGCAGAGGTAGAGACGCCAGGGTCCGTACCACCACCATCTTTATTGCCTCTCCCACCACCACCACTACCTGCACCAACACTTCCTCTTCCACTATCGACGCCAAAAAGCCTTCGGATATCCCAACGTCCTGGCATGAAATATCCCTCAGAAGCGGAGTCGTTCCTGACAAACACCGAAGGCTTGACACTGGATATGAGGAAGGGCCGTTGCTCCGGGTCCCCCCACAAGTAGGGGATGGTGCTGTGCTGTCTAATGTAGTTAATGCGCATCTCGCTAGTCAGGCTCGGGTACGTCGGCTCTACAGAAATGGACATATGGTCGTCCTCGGGGTCGTCTGCCTTGAAGTACGGGAGCAGGAAGCTGGGGCAACAACGGGCCACCCCGCCAAACGACATTTTGAACTGTCGCCTGGGAAAAGAAGAAAAAGTGTGTGGAGCAGATGAGAAGGGGTTGGGGAAATTTTCTTTGATAATTTTCGACATTGTCAATAACATTTACACCCTTTCAAATGCAGGCCACTTCGGTTCTACTTGTTGGAGCAAATCGGGGCTGTATTGGCTACATACAGTATCCCACCACAAAAGTAACGCGCCTATTTTGTTCACTCATGGGAATCGAACTCGCGTGCTTTGCTTGGAAGGCTATGTGACCAACACACTGTGACACGCACATACACTGAAATACATACTCTGACAAACACACACTATCCCGTAAACACTGATACTTACACACATTTACTGATTCACATATACTGGCCCACAAACTGATGCGCCCCCCCCCACACACACATATACACACATACACACACACATATACACACATACACACACACATACACAGACAGACACACACACACACACACACACA